ATTAAGTCTATCTATTAGTTACTGAAAACTTTTCTCACAATCTTCCGCCCATAAGAATTTAACCTTCATTAGGGTCAATGTCGTCAATGGAATGGCTATCAAAGAAAAACCTTCCACAAGCCTTTTGTAGTAACCGGCTAAATCAAAGAAACTTCTAATATTCGAGGGATATATAGGTCTAGTGATTAACGTTCAAAGACACTTCATCCAAGTCTAAGTGTCAACGATTCAAAATCAGTATAAACCCAACTAGATCAGTTGGAATCGATCCCACAAAGAGTAGCTTTATTTTGAATTCAAATATAAAAGTATAATAGTGACCCTTTTAGTTAAACAAGCATCGCACACAAGTGTTTAGGATTCAAATTCCATGATGTAGTTACAAACCCGTTTCAACACTCAAACCGAAAAAAGCAAATGACGAGGAAATACTTAGAGGGTTGACGAACCAACTATTGCATTCAACTTAATGGGTGAACAATATTACCAACAATGTTAATTTGTTGTGGGTAGAATATGCTATAAGTAAAGCAATTTTCTCTCGAACAATTACCTTATTTATGATGAATTCTCTCAAACTTCAACACTAGCCATAGGACGCCCAACCCACTTTCTCATCAAGTCTACTCTCTCGAGCTAAACACACATGTTAAATGTTGAATTTGACTTTCTTAAGCTGCAACCACAATGACCCACTACTAAGGATGCCAAATTATCACGTTGGTTATATCCTTCTGTCTTGAGCAAGCACAACACTCTGAACTATATTGCACTAAGTATGCAATAATGACTTTAAATCGTTATAATAATTTAGACCCACTTCAAATTAACACCACAATTCGCTAATTTATGACAGCCACTTAGTCAAATGCAACGATTGGTCACATTTTCAAACCCCCAAGGTTAGGGTTTTAGCCAACCATGGTAGAAAGATGAAATTCAATGCCTTCCATATTTTCCATAGCAGGGTAAATGAAATTCAAAAGTTAAAATTTACTAAAATTTTCTCTATTACAAAACTCAAATTGAAAAACGTTTATGAAAATCACTTGAAATCTACAATGGGGGTGTTTTTGCGCTCAATCTTTTGGACCTCCCGTTTCTGAATACTTTCTCTCTCTTGCAAAAATTCATTTATACAAGTCTGATGTGAGGGTTTTTAGGAATAATCGGCGAGGAAAGTCAGGTTTCACCGACTGTTCGGCGAATTTACGATCGTCCTTCGTCTAGCCATAATTATTATTTTCTTATTAGTCTAGCCATTGTAAATTCAGGTGAACCAGATCAGGATCGTTGTATTATTTCGGGATTTACCTTTTTTCCTTTAAACTCGCCCATCAGCAGTTGTCTTGATTTCCAACAGGACTTTTGGGGACGAGGTCATCTTTCGCTGATGTGCTCGACGACACGCCAAATGAAACTTCTGCTCGCCGAAGTTTCCCCTAATCCAGTCTCAGAGTTCTGTAACTTTAGGCGATAGAAGAGAAGCATAGGAGAAATGCCGAGTGATCTCGGTGATCACCATGCTTGCTTTTCTTCATTCTTTCAGCTTACTTTTTTCCTCTTTGCAATTAGTGTCCTTGCTTTGTTCCTCAATCCATATACCTGGAATCAAGGGTTTTACATCAGTTATTCCTAAAAACTAAGCATTTGAGGACACTAAATCATTGTAAATAAAGCCCTAAATGAGTCTGAATCTCGGACTCATCAATACCCCCAACTTAAACTTTTGCTTGTCCTCACGTAAAACTCGAGTTCAGTAGTTCAGAAAGGATGTCTCAAATAGTGATGCACAAGACTAAATCATGAATGCCCACAACAAGACTCATCTTACTCATGCAAGGATCAATTGTGCACTCAAAGGTTCAAGTTGTGACTCACCATTATCAAAAGATTCTGAAGTTCACTATACTTGTTTCAAATGCAAGCTCAAGCTCAACACAGGTATTCAAACACCCTAAAACAAAGATGATTCCATATTCATATACAATGGTTCAACAATATATAGTTCCAGAATCACATACGACTCTCATACTCAAAAAGATGAACACATGCATGACTTCACCCATAGGTTTGCCCTTATTATCCAACCAACATTTGTTTCACCTCACTCAAGATCAAAAGGTCTTTTCATGGCTTGTAACGGGGCTGACTGTAAAGCTATGGTCATTTAGAGTTATTATCCTCATGAAATGTGGTATGAACATCAATTTCTATCCTTTTCTTCTTCATTTACAACCATGCTCAAAATTCACCCTATTATTCATTTCCCATGGAATATTGGACACCCCATTTAATTTACAACTTTTATTTCTCAACTTTTTTCATTCTTTTTCTTTTTTATTCTTTTTTTTTCTTTTTCTCTCTCTTCTTTTTGTATGGAGGGGTTCCATTTTTTTCACAACCATGGATCAAAGGGGGACTTCCTTGCACTTCTTGATCCACCTTCTCTTTTAACCACACCCCAATTTAGGCTCTTGGCCTATGTTGGCTATTGAAACAAACCACACTTCATGAGGATTATGGGTGAATGGATAAAGGGAGGTCTCATTTTCTCAAGTTACTTCCAAGAAAGGGATAAGGCTTAATGGGAGTTCAAGTATAGTTCCCACACTCACATGGTAGGCTACAAAAGAGGTATAATGTCAAATTGTTTCACTCTTTAAGATTGTTGCCTAAGATCATTTTGATAGCTTGCATCACCTAGTAAACTGGACCAATGGGGCAAATTCTAGGTGTCATAACACAAGGATCACGGTAAGATCACCATACAAGGCATTGGAACCAATATCAAACAAGACTCCACACCTTCTCTAGTGTGCAATGTTTATCACAAGAAACTTAATTTGATGACAAGCTAGTCACAACGAGATACTAAAAGTTCACATATTATATATGCAACTTCATTTGTCCTCATCTTAGCCGTGCATTCATTTTTGTTCGATTCAGAACACTATTCAAGACATCAATATTGATCATGACCAAACACTCAAATTCGTAACTTTTTTCGAATAAGCAAGGGACTTACTGACCAAGCACACACCTCCACCAAAAGCATTCAACATTGTCCCCAATGTGAGTAGAGAATCGAAAATACCAAAAATAAAATAAAACAAAGGTAAAATAAAAATAAAAACTAACAAAATAAAGATAAAATACTGGTATGTAAACATGCAGAGCAAGGTGACGAGGAATCTTTACTAGGTGCCCATTCGGAGAGAAACTGGAAGAGTCGCTGAATGACTCGGCGGTTCACCAAAAGGTCCAGATATCGCCCTTATTTCCAATGTGCAACATGCTAAAAAAGGGGTGAAATAGCAAGGAGGAATGAGATGGCCAAATAGGTCAACACTTTGCATAATGGACTTGTAACTTCGCCGAACATCCAATGGATTAGGCTATCAGCGTTAGAGCAGAAGGACGGGGAAAATTAGGTCGCCCAAGAACATCAATGAGTCACCAAGTGATGAATGTCTCCCGCTGAATGTCCAAGTATTGAGCTCCATACTTGAAGTCCATAAGGCGGACTATGTCGTGCTCGCTGAACGAATTCGGCGATCCGCCAATTGCATTCTTGCGAAATATCTTGCACCAGCAAAATCAACACACATTATTTAAAATACTAACACTTGGGTTTCCTCCCATGAAGCACCTTATTTAATTTCGTGGCTTGACGTGGAAATTCTCCCAGGCATCTTCCATGTACACCACCTCAATCAGAGAAATCTCTTGGCAGTCGCCAAAGTATAACTTCAGGCATTGCCCATTCACTTTGAATGCAGGTCCTTCTTGACCTTCAACATCGATGGCACCATTTGTGAACACTCATGTCACTCTAAACGGCCTTGACCATTTGGACTTGAGCTTTCCCGGAAAGAATCTAAGTCGAGAGTTATATAATAACACCCACTCTCCCACTCTGAACTCTATTTTAAGGATTTTAGAATCATGCCATTTCTTCATATTTTCCTTCTAAAGGGTAGAACATTCGTAAGCCTTGAACCTGAATTTGCCCAACTCATTTAAATGTTCTACTCTCTCTTTTGAAGTATTTGTCCAGTCCAGATTTAGAGATTTCAACGCCCATAATGCTTTGTGTTCCAATTTAAGTGGTAAATGGCAAGATTTACCAAACACTATCTAATACGGAGACATACCAATTGGTGTATTGTATGTGGTGCAATACCCCCATAGCGGGTCATCAAGCTTTTGAGACCAATCAGTCCTATTAGCATTCACTGTCTTGGACAAGATGTTTTTGATCTCCCAATTTGACACTTCAATTTGGCCGCTTGGTTAGGGGTGATACAGAGTTACTACTTTGTGTTTCACTCCATACTTACTCAATGCGGGTGAAAACCACTTGTTGCAAAAGTGGGATCCCCCATCACTAATAATAGCCTGAGGAGTACCAAATCTAGCATAGATGTACCATTTCATGAATTAAAAAACATTTTTCCCTTCATTGTTTGGAAGTGAAACAACATCCACCCATTTAGAAACATAATCTACGGCCACGAAAATATACTTATTGCGAAACAAACTCACAAATAGGACCATGAAATCTACTCCCCATACATCAAATAGCTGAACTTCTAAAATGGATGTAAAGGGCAACTCGTGTCTTTTGGACACTCCACATTATTTCAAACATTAAGTACACTTCTTAACAAACTCATGAGCATCTTTATAGAAGGACGGCCAGTAGTAGCCACTTTGAAGGATTTTAGCAGTTGTACTTACACCACCATGATGTCCCCCAACTGGTTAAGAATGACAAGCATGAAGAATTTCGATTGCTTTTTCTTGTGGACACATCTCTTAATGATATGGTCTGCACACTCTCTGAATAAATATGGTTCATCCCAAAAGTAGTTTTTAACATCGAACAAGAACCTCTTGTGTTAGTAGAAGTTCAGTTTTTCTGGCATTAATCCACACACTACATATTTGGCAAAATTAGCATACTAAGGAGATTGTTTGAGAGTTACCATGAATACCTATTCATCGGCAAAGGAATCATATATGTCGATCTCTAGCTCATCATTTTCCTTGCCTTCCAATCTTGATAAGTGGTCAGCCACCTGATTTTCACAACCTGTCCTATCTTTGACTTCAAAGTTGAATTCTTGCAATAGTAGCACCCACCTCATTAATCTTGGCTTGGCATCCTTCTTTTCCATCAGATAATGCAGTGTAACATGATCAGTGTGAACAACCACTTTAGTACCTAGAAAGTATGCTTGAAACTTCTCAAATGCATATACTACCGTAAGTAATTCTTGTTTTGTAACTGTATAGTTATGTTGAGCATTGTTTAGAGTTTTGCTTGCTTAGTAAATGGGGTGAAATAGTTTGTTACGTTTTTGCCCCAATACAACACCTAATGTCGTGCCGCTTGCATCACACATCACTTCGAAGGATTCAGACCAATTGGGATTAATGATAATTGGGGTGGAGACCATTTTTTCTTTCAAGCACTTGAAATCCACCATTCATGCATCATCAAAGTGGAATTTCACCTCGTTGTCCAAGAGTTTGCATAGAGGATGTGCAATCTTTGAAAAGTCTATGATGAACCTCCAGTAAAAACCAGTATACCCCAAGAAACTGCAAACACCCTTCTCTGATATTGGCGGTGGTAATTTCTCAATCACTTCAATATTTGCTTTATCAATCTCCATCCCCTTTTGCGACAATTTGTGACCAAGAACTATACATTCCTTCACCATAAAGTGGAAGTTTTCCAAATTTAAGACCAAATTTATCTCCACACATCTTTTGAAAACCTTTCCTAAGTGTGTTAAACATGCTTCGAAGGTGTCACCCACAACCGAGAAGTCATCTATGAATACCTCCATTGAATCCTCCACCATGTCAGCAAAAATAGATAACATGCAACATTGAAATGTTGTCGGAGCATTACATAACCCGAACGACATCCGTTTGAAGGCAAAAATTCCATATGGGCAGGTGAAGGTGGTTTTCACTTGGTCATCCGGAGCAATGGAGATTTGGTTATAACCGGAATACCCATCTAAGAAGCAATACAAACCTCTCTAAAAAGGTCGATCAAGCATTTGATTTATAAAAGGCATGGGAAAATGATCTTTTTGGGTCCACGAGTTTAACTTCAGGTAATCCATGCATACTAGCCATCCAGTCACCGGTATCATAGATACAAGCTCTCCCTTTTCATTTGGGACTACTGTGATTCCTCCCTTTTTTTGGTATACATTGCACCATACTTACCCATTTTCTATCTGCAATAGGATAGATCATAGCTCCGTCCAACCACTTTATTATTTCTTTTTTCACCACCTCTTGCATTGGTGGGTTCAATCTCCGCTGATGTTCAACACTCGGTTTACAAACACTATCAAGCTGAATTTTGTGAGTGCAAATGACAGGAGGAATGCCCACTATGTCAACGATAGTCCAACCTATGGCTTTGATATGCTTTCTCAACACCTCAATGAGCAATTTTACCTGCCATTCAAGAAACTCAGCAGAAATGATCATTCGTAAGTTGTTATTTTCCCCCAAGAAAGCATATCGGAGATGGGAGGGAAGTAGTTTCCACTCCAGATTTGGTGGTTCTTATACTGATGGCTTTGCGGGAGGACTTTCTCAATTTTTTAGATCAATGTCCTTCTTTAAGGGAGTCTTTGAATACCCCCCCCCCATGCTTGAAAGAGAAGTTACTACATCATCGTAGACTTCAATTTTGAACTCATCATAGTTAGCAAGCACGACTTCAAGCGGCTCACTCATACACATCAACTGTCACACACTATCCACCACCTCATTAGTAACATCAATCGTGGAAACTACGTGAATATCGCTTTGATGTTTCATTGACTTACAAACATTAAAGGTTACTTCATATTCGTTCTCCCGGAACTTCAGTTCTCTGCTTTCAACATCCACCAATGCTCCCTTGGTTGTCAAGAATGGTGTTCCCAAAAAGATGGGAATTTCGGCATCTATTTCCCAATTGAGAATGACAAAATCAGTCGGGGAAATGAATAGGTCGACCTTTACCAAGATATCATCTAGTACCCCTACATGATGTTTAATTTATTTGTCTGCCATCAAAAGTCTCATTATTGTGGCTTTCGGTTCACCCAACCCAAGTTGTTTACATATTGTGTATGGCATTAGGTTGATGCTTGCTCCAAAATCGCATAGGGCTGTAGCAACTTGGAGCATGCCAATGGTGTAAGTGATGGTGAACGCTCCGGGATCTTTTCTCTTTTTTATCAGCTCAATAGTTATAATTGCATTACAACTATGAGAAACTTCAATTGTCTCAAAATCCAAGATCCTTTTCTTTGTGTAACTCCTTCATGAACTTTGCATAACCCGACATTTCCAACAGTGCTTTCACTAGAGGGAGACTAATTGATAATGTATTGAACACCGATAAAAACTTCTTGTACTTCTCATCCTCATTCTTCTTATTGAGACATTGGGGGAATGGAAGAGATATATTGGGTAAAGGTTATTAAATTGTGGGATTGGATTGTGTTTCTACACATTTTTTTGTTGCGCTTTAGCAATGCTTTGATGGATGGGTATTTCTTCTTCCTCCATACCTTTCTCTTCTTCGTGCATTTTAGCTTCTTCATTGCCCATTACATCAATAGCCCGTTACATCACCTATTGCTACCTTTCCGCTACGAGTAACCACATCAATCCCTCTATCATCATCTTCCATTGTCATTTTTGCTTTCAATTGTGCTGAAAGTAAACTCAAGTGACCTTAAAGTATCTTGATTGCATTTGTGTGAGAGTTCACTTTATTGTTCCATGATGAAAAATCAGCTTTCATGCCTTTTAACAAATAATCTGAACCTTCAACTTTACCAACGATGCGTGACAACAAATAACTCACCCGAGGATTACTTGCACTCCTTTTCGAGTTTGGGCTCTCACTCAATTGAGTGTGCTCCTCCTCCCTTTTCCAATAATCATTTTGCTTAGCCAAATCTTGATAGTATCTTCTTTGTTCTTCCCCCGTGTGATAGTTCCAACCTTGATTCCCGCCACGCGGTAAATAGCGTGGGTGGAAAGCCTCCTCATATCTCTGAGAATTCCAACCTTGATTCTCCCCCGACTTTGAATAACTTGAGGAAGAACCCTCCTTAACTCTAAACACTCCATTTCCTCCCTCGGGCTTTCCCACATTCTCCAACATATGCCCTTGTAGTAGCTCCATTTGGGCCAACATCTTCTTGATGTTCTCATCCCTTTTTCATTCCTTATCAAGTTGCTCTTGTGTCATTCTAAAACAAAAAGGAGAGACTTGATACACTTGAGTGTACCAAGATTGATTTATTTTGGTCATGTCATCAAGAAGAAATGAAGCCACCTCAAAGGATTGCAACATTATTCCACCTCAAACCAATTGGTCAGCCACTCCTTTATTAACGGAATCAAGACTCCGGTAAAAATATTGAAGTAGAAAATCGTTTGGTAGCCCGTGAATTGGGTATTGAAGTAAGAGTTTCTTGAACCTCACCCATGTTTCGTGTATGGGTTCACTTTCTTATTGCTTAAAACCTCAAATGTTATCTCTGAGTTTTACAATCCTCGATGGGGGAAAAATCATGCATTGAATGCCATAATCAGTTCATCCTATGATGTGATGGAATTTCTTGATAACTCCGCCAACCACCAGCTAGCTTCCCCCGTCAAAGATAGTGTAAATAACTTGAGCCGGATTGAATCTTGTGACACATTCTTGAAAGAAAATGGGCTACACACCTCTATAAAATTCCTTACATGCTCATGTGGATCTTCGTGATCAAGCCCTCCATAGAGTCCCCTCATTTCAAGAAAATAAAGAGTTGTGCTAGTGACCTCAAATGTTGCATTCTGATCAACTGATGGTAGGCAAATTACACCCATTTCACCCGATTGGGTGGGATTGTACACACTGTTAACATCCTCGATACCATTTCAGGGGCCTGCTAAGCTGCCATTTAGTTCTTCCTCACTCATTTTAACTTCTATTTAGTCCAACCAATACTAACACAATGCAGTCTAAATTGATTCAACTGCAGCTGACAAATGCACAAGCCAAACCTTCATAAAAGAACTCTAAACAACGCTACTCCCCGGTAGAGGCACCATTTTTATTAACGTTCAAAGACACTTCATCCAATTCTAAGCGCCAACGGTCACAAATTAGTATAAACCCAACTACATGTGTTGGGGTCGATCCCACAGAGAGTAGCTTTCTTTTGAATTCAAATATGAAAGTATAACAATGACCTTTTTAGCTGAACAATCACCACACACAAGAGTTCAGGATTCAAATTCCACGATGTAGTTCTAACCAACTTCAACACTCAAACCGAAATAATCAAATGACGAGGAAACACTTGGGTGGTTGAGTAACCAACTATTGCATCCAACTTAATGGGTGAACATTATTACCAACAATGTCAATTTGTTCTGGGTAGAATATGCTATAAGTAAAGCAATTTTCCCTCGACCAATTACCTTATTTATGATGAATTCTTTCAAACTTCAACACTAGCCATAAGACGCCCAACCCACTTTCTCATCAAGTCTACTCTCTCGAGCTAGACACAAAGGTTGAATCTTGAATTTCACTTTCTCAAGATAAAACCGCAATGACCCACTACTAAGGATGCCAAATTATCACTTTGGTTCTATCCTTCTCTCTCAAGCAAGCACAAAACTTTGAACAATATTGCACTAAGCATGCAGTAATGACTTTAAAACGCGATAATAATTCAAACCCATTTCAAATTAACACCACAATTCGCTAATTGATGACACCCACTTAGTCAAATACCACGATTAGTCAAATCGTCAAACCCCCAAGGTTAGGGTTTTAGCCAACCATGGTAAAAAGATGAAATTCAATGCCTTCCACATTTTCCATAGCACGGTAACTAAAATTCAAAAGTCAAAATTCACTAAAATCTTCTCTATTACAAAACTCAAATTGAAAAACCTTGCTAAAAATCACTTGAAATCTACAATGGTGGGGTTGATGTGCTCATTCATTTGTTCCTCCCAATTCTTAATACTTTCTCTCTCTTGCAAAAATCAATTTATACAGGTCTGATGTGAGGATTTTTGGTACTAATTGGCGAGGAAAGTCGGGTTTCACCGACCGTTCGGCAACTCGCCGATCGTCCTTCGTCTCGCCGTAATTCTTTTTTACCTTCTTAGCCTAGCCACTGTAAATTTAGACTACCAAGATCAAGATTGTCGTTTTATTGCCTCATTCACCGTTTTGCCTTTTAACTCACCCATCAGCACTTGTTTGGACTGCCATCAAGATTTTTGGCGATAAGGTCATACTTCACCGATGTGCTCGGTGACACACAGAATGGTACTGCTGCTCGCCGAAGCTACCCCCAATCCAGTCTCAAAGTTATGTAACTTTAGGCGATAGAGGAGCAACTTAGGTAACATGCCAAGTGATCTCGACAATCACCATGCTTCCATTTCCTCATTCTTTCAGCTTACTTCTTTCCTATTTGCCAATTAGTGTCCTTGCTTTGTTCCTCAATCCACATACCTGGAATCACCGATTTTACATCAATTATTAGCACAAACTAAGAATTTGAGGACACTAAATCATTGTAAATAAAGCCCTTTATGATTCTGTCTTAGACTCATGATCTAGGCCAACTCTTAACCACATTCGTCTTCTTAGGATTTACCTCAACACCGTTCCAAAAAACAAGGTGACCAAGAAATGCCAAAGACCTTAACCAAAACTCACATTTACTAAACTTTGCACAGAGTTGTTGGTCAATGAGTGAAGGTCAATATCAAAATCTATTTTCCTTTCTAAAGGAACACTAGGTATATAATCAGGAAACACTTCCGGAAACTTATTAACAGTGGAGACCGACTCAAGAGTAGGGTTTTAGAATCCATATCCCCCAGCCTAACTAGATGGTACAAGCAACCATTAGAAATCATCTTTCTAGCTTTAAGACAAGAAACAAACTGACTCTTAGGCATGAAATTTCTCCATTTCCACTCTAGGATAGGCCCATTAAGAAAGTGAAACTTGACCACTCGAGTTCTACAATAAATAGAAGTACAAAAGGAATGCAATAAATGTATACCTAGAATGACATCAAAATCTAGCATATCAAGTTCTACAAGATCAACACGAGTGAATTTATGGGATAAAGATATGGGACAATTTCTATAGATTCTCTTAGCCACAATAGATTAACCAATAGGAGTTGAGACAAAAAAAAAGGTCAATCAACACATTCAGAAGAATATCAAACCTCATAGCCACATATGGCGTCACAAAATGCAAGGTAGCAGCGAGATCAAGCAAAGAATAAACATCAAGATGAAAGACTTTCAAAATACCAGAAACCACATCAGGAGAACTGTCTTGTACATGATGAGTTTGGATTGCATAAAACATGTTTTGTACTAACTCCCACAAGAACCAAATGAAAGATTAGGTTGAGCCCTTAGACAAGTATCTTCTTCAATCATAGAAATTGAGGGATAGTTCATTATATTTTGATGCATTTTTCCACAATCAAAACATGCATTAGAATCGGCTAGACATCTACCCTTATTCTTTCTTCCACATTTAGCACAGGTACATAATGAAGATCCACTACCTTTTCCTCCTTAAAGCTTAGGATTAGACACCCTATATTTTTTGAACCTGGGAGGAGCATTAGAGGATCCTTGAACAGAAAACCTTTGTTGAAACGTAGAATGACCATGTCCATCAGACCTTGAATGTGAAAAGTTACCATCACTGGTCCTTGCCATCTTTGACTCCCTATATCTTAACTTAAGTTTCTCTTTTATTTTTGTTGAGCATGCACCATTAGACGAGAAATTTCCATACTATTGATGAGCATTGCAGTACGACATATCTTGACTACCATCTCAGACATTCCCTACACAAACTTATTCATCCTTGCCCTAGGATCGGTAACCATAGTAGGACCATACCTCAAAAATTTTGTGAACTTCAAAGAATATTCCTTCACACTCATGCTTCCTTAAAACAAGTCGATGAACTTAAGTACCTTTTCCTCCCTCATCTCAAGGGGAAAGAACCTATCAAGGAAAGCAACCTTAAACTTTCCCAATCAAGAGGAACTGCATCAACCGCCCTCTCTTCCTTCCATTAGTTGAACGAAACTTGAGCAAAACCCTTATGTTGATAAGCAGCAAATTCTTCCTTTTCCACCGACATCACTCCCATGATCAGGAACACCTTATACACTTCAGCAATGAACTCTTGAGGATCTTCCTCAACCGTAGAATAATAAAACTACAGAGGATTCATCCTAGTAAAGTGATGAGTCCGAGATTGGAACTCATTTAGGGCTTCACTTATACAGATTTAGTGTCCTCAAATGCTTATTTTGTGTCAATAACTGATGTTAAATCCTTGATTTTCAGGAATATGGATTGAGGAACAAAGCAAGGACTATAACAGGCAAAAAGGAACAATACAGGTAGAAGAAATAAAGATGGGCGAGCCTGAGGATCTCCAAGAGCACTTGGCGTGTCACCGAGTGGCTCATCACACCGCCTAAAGTTCCAGAGTGCCAAGCCTTGAAGGAAAGAACAAAGTTAGTGATGAAAAAGACCAATCAACAGATCGCCAAATGAATTTCGTGAATCTAAGATAGATCACCCAAACTTACAGACCTTGAGGATGCTAAATACCAATGCAAGAGG